CAGCAGGTCGGTTAAAGGTTTTGCTATGGCTGCATATGAATTGATATGACGTCGATAATACCCAGTTAATCCTAAAAATGATTTGATATCATGTTTGTTTGTGGGTTGAGGGAAAGATAAAACGCAGTTGATTTTATCGGGATCGGGCCTTATTCCTTCGTCAGAAACATCGTGCCCTAAGAATTTAATTTGCCTCTGTAAGAAATGACATTTTTTTGGTTTTAGTTTTAAGCCCGCTCTGGCCAGGCGTTGAAAGATTTGTTCTAACCGAGATAAGTGACTTTGGAAATCGGAACTAAAAGTTAAGATATCATCCATGTACACTAGACATGTTTTTCCTTTTAACCCATGAAGGATAAAGTCTGCCGCCCTCTGCCAAGAGGCAGGACTTCCTCGAAGGCCCATGGGCATACGATTCCAATGATAGTGCCCATCGGGGGTAGAAAATGCTGACTTCTCCTTATCCCTCAAGGCGAGTTGCCAAAATCCTGATATAGTGTCCATAGTTGAAAAGTATTTGGCTTGCCCCATCAAACTAAGTGCTTCTTGTATTAAAGGTAAGGGATAGGGGTCTGTTTTAGTGATTTTATTTAATTTTCTATAGTCGATCACAAGACGCCATTGTCCTGGCTCTTTCTTCTTCACCAATAATGCGGGAGCTGACCATGGGGATTTAGAATGGGTGATTATTCCATTGTCTAACAAGCCATCGATGATGTTATTTAATTGTTCTCTTTGGGCATAAGGGATGCGATATGGAGGTTGATATATGGGAGAAGCGTCTCCAGTATTTATTTCATGTTCAACTACTTGACAATATCCCAGGTCGTAATCATGAGTTGCAAAAACGAAATGATATTTATACAGTAGATCTAATAAAGGTTGTTTCTTGTCTTTCCCGATATGAGACCAGTCAAATAACTGACTAAATTTCTCTCTAGAGAGTTTCGAAGTAGAAGATTCATTGCCTGAATTCAGAGAGAGAGTAGGGTCTTCTCTCGCTTCTACAAAGGTTCCTACACATTCTCCCTTTGCTAACTTCCTAGGCTGTGTGGAGAGGTTAGTAATTCGGACAGGCACTTGTCCTCCCTTTTGGGTTTTGGCTAATATGTCAGCGCTTATGACTCCCTCTTGACTAAGTGGTTGTGCTTCTATAATTCCGAGTTTGCCCTTCTCCTTTATCCCAGAAATTTTTGCCATAGTGATTATTTCCGTTCTCGGAGGAAGATTACAATCTCCCAACAAGACCACATCTTGCGATTGTTCTACTGATAAGGGTGTAGAAGAAATAGGAGTAGGGTTGGGCGGTTTGTTGATTTTACATCGATTAGGAACTATGCAGGGTTTAGAATTGATATATGTGCCTCTGCGGTTTCGTTTTCTACCCACTTGCGCTAAGATTCTCGAATTCGTTGCTTTCGGATTTCTCCGAAAATCGATCTCCTCTCCTTCTGGGAGAATTAATTTTTCCCTTGCTAAACAAATCATGAGCCCTTCTGCTGTAATAATGTCTCTCCCAAGAAGTCCGTCGCAAGGTTTAGTTATTTGATCATCTACTATATAACAAGAATATGAGAAACATAAAGGTCCTATCTCAAACCGGAATTCTTCCGCTCCGTACGTTTTTATTCCATGGCCTGTAACGCTTTGGAACAGTGTCCTTCCCCGGTTGTTGTTACCTTCAAATTGAGCTACTCTCTGAGCCAATGATTTAGATAAAAGTGTTACTTTAGATCCAGTATCGATCGCTAATCGAGCCGGATATCCGTTAATTTTACAGAATAAACTCGGTTCTGAATCTTGATTTAATGATTTAATTCTTCCTCGATGTTGATATAGAAAAGGTACTTCCCTTCTCTCTGGAGGGGTGTCCGTTACGATCGGATAACGAACCCGATTATTTTCTCTATAGGTTCGAGAGTAACGAAGGGGGTCAGCCAGGTCCCTGAAGGGATCCCTTCTAAATTTCCTCCAATTTACTTTATTAATTCGCCCATATCCCGGTCGGTTAGATGGATTTGTTCGCATTCGAGCATTTCCTCGGCCTCTAGGTATATTAGATACATTTCCCGTGTTATATCGAGGAGCATATATAGATTCTCGTTGATCTCTATTCTCGAACCTCGCTCTCCCCATATTTGAATCTCGGGACCCTCGGGAGTTTCGGGAGTCGTCGCCCAGTCTTCCCCGAGATAGATATTGTGGTCGTGACTCTTGATAATTTCTAGGACGCCAAAATGATGAGGGGTTACGTCGCGGAATTCCTCGACCACGTTCTGAAGTTCCTAATTGTTTTAATTGTTCCTGGATTTTCTCTAAGGTTGCTTCTAATTGATTTTGATTTATAGCACTAGCTTCTTCCTTATTATCATTGGGATTGTTTATAGTTCGGACCATCCCTCGGGTTCTTCCTGTTAATTGGTCGATAGTTTCTTCACTGATAGCAACGCGTACTGCCTTATCAAATGTGTCCGGTTCCTTCGACATTACCGGTCGTTTTAAGCGATCATTTAGCCCGCTAAGAAATTGTACCCTCAATCGTTCATCTGCTTCTTTTTGTTGACATCGTTTTATGATTGCTGCCTCTCCAGGGTCCTCACTTTTATGTTCTATAACAGTTTCTGAGGCTAAAGTTTGCAAGCGCACGGCGTATGTTTGAACGTCTTCATCCCGTGCTTGCACACAGGCATGGAATTTCTGCAATCTTAATGAGTATGGAACCCTTTCGAATCGTTTTATCATAAGTTTCTTAAATTCATCGTAGGTGTCCGCTGCTTTCATTTTTTCATCCTTCCATGCATAATCTCGGGCTATCCCTGTTAATTTTAATTTCGCCACGCTTAAACATTGACCTTTAGTCCAATTAGTCAGTTTAGCTATCTCCTCTATGGCTGCTAAATAATCTGTTACCTTAAGTCCCTCAGTTTCTCCTGCAAAGGAGGGTATCAAAGGAACGAGGGCCCCTAATCCGCCTAGTCCGCCCCCAGCGGAACTTCCGGCTGTCTCTCCACGCGCTTGTCCTTCTGCTCCGCGCGATGGTCCTTCTCCCGGGGTTTCCATCTTTTCCCCTTATCTAGTTATTTTATAAGTAAATCGGATCCCGCTCTGACACCACTGTGACCGAAGGGTCGGCACCTCTTTGGTGCCCTGTCAGGATGACACCACCGCGTCTCGGCGGACACGGAAGCCGCGTTATTTAGGTCACGCGAGCGGTCGCGTAACGGAGCGATCAGAGTCGAGATAGAAGGAGAGACAGCGCACCGGAAGTGATTTACTCAGACGCTTTTTTAACGTAACAACTGTTTAATGGTTAACGATAGGATATACATTAGGGCTGCTATTAGATACATTGCTCGCTTTAGTATATAATAGTATTTAGATATTAAGATATTAAGATATTACGTTTCTTCCCGTTTTGAGAGAGAGAGTTTACAGAAGTTCGCGTGTCGATATTTACCTTGTATGAAATCCCAAAAGAAGACAGTTCCGGACTCAGAATACAGAAGACACAGTTCTTAGGCGTAGAAATATCCAAAGGCGAAGAAATATCCAAGGGCAAAGAAATATCCAAAGGCGAAGAAATATCCAAAGGCGAAGAAATATCCAAAGGCGAAGAAATATCCAAAGGCGAGGCACAGGGATAACGGGAGTGGTCCGAACGAGGAACTGGTGACGACTGACTCACTTTGTTGTCGTGTCTAATGTTGAATTGTTAAAATCGCGCTATTAGGTCGAAAGGTGCTGAGAAAGCGTCGTTATTACGCCTGAGAACTTAGCAGATGTTTAGCTCCCAGTTGTAAAAGTTGACAGTTATTAAACAAAAGTATAGCTGTACTGTGATCTTATGACACCGTGGAATGAAGGTAGAACTACAATGTGATATTATGATGAGATGATATAAACACATCCGAATTCGGATCCTCACATATTCATTAATATCTTGTTTACTGTTAATTAATAATTTCATAATTGCAATGGAATATAAATGCTTCTCAAAGTTTTTTAAATAACAATATTGTCTCTGTTTAATTGCTGATTTTTTTATTATTATTATTATAGATAATATCACTTTTATTTCACAATGGGGTGATGATTTAAGTTCTCTTGACACATCACTTTATTCAATGCTGTATGCTTTATATATTTGTTTGCCAATATGAATTTCAGATTTTAATTCCTCTTCTGTTGGCTAAAATACAAATTATTACTACATTTATATACAGTATTATCTAATTATAAAATTTCTTTACATATCATGATGTGCAGCTTACACAACTTTTTCATTAAAACTGATCTTCAGTTTACTAATATTCTGTGAATTATATTTCTTATACATTAGACATCCATTATTATTATTTATTTATTATTCAATAAAATTTTTCTTTACACATATTTTTACAAAAGGCGCTATTGATTGATTATTACAATCAATGAACTTTATTTTTCATTGATTTTTTATCACATATTCATTTGATGCTTTCATCATTCAAGATTTTAACTTGCAAATGTTTCTTACTCTATTTCATGATTTGTATAGCATGCTATTTAGTCTGTTTATTTCCTGTTATTTTCCTTTTATTCATTGTTATAGATAAATACATTTGTCGTTAGCTTATGATTTTTCAATAAATAGAGCATTCATCTATATATATTTTATTTGATTTAGTATTATTTGTTTTAGTATTTCTTATAGACCATAATGTAAATCTTAAAAGCATTTAAAATTTTTATTAACTAATTTATTGGTTTAATTTTTATAGTTTATTATTATTTGTATTACATATTTATTCGTGCATTTAATTGTAATTAATTATAAATTTAATTTACACACATATTCACAAAATTAGTATGTCTGCATATCAAAAATAATAGATGTAAATAATTTTGGATGAGTAAAATTTATACATCTCAATAGTGATTTTATATTTAACATTTATATTAGTTACTTTCAATTTGATTATCATTAATTGATTGAAAAATTAATAAATATATTTTTTTAGTGCTCCAATGCCATTTCTTATTGGTGTCCCATCATCTACATTAATGGTATGTATACTGAATTTTTCGTATTAATAAATATTTTTGAATAATAATTATAATTTCCATTTATCAAAAATCAAAATTTGAAATTTTAAAAATACAACATTTTTCTTTAAGTATTTTAATATATGATTTATGTTTTACATTAGAGATTATTTGAGTATTAAATACGAGGGTCATTCTAAAAGTAAAGAACGTTTGTTTCTCTAGATATTTTTATTTAAGATAATGAAACAAAACTTATTTTACAACACATATGATACCTTAGCTATTTTTCTACATAGTTGCCATACAAATTTAAACATTTGTCATAATGTATCACCAGATTTTCTATGCCTTCTGCACACTCAGTTACCACCAACTTCTTGAACCAGTCATTAATGGCCTCTTTCAGTTTGTTGTCACTTCCATAGTGATTCCTGGCCAAAAATTCCTTCAATTTTGGGTAAAGATGGTAATCACTCGAAGCCAAGTCAGCGCTGTAAGGAGGATGTTCAAAAACTTCCCACTTAAACTGCTGAAGTAAGTTCTTCGTCAATGCAGCAGCATGTGAATGTGTGTTATCCCGAAGAAGCACAATGCCTTTGGACAACAATCCCACCGTTTGTTTTGAATGGAGTGGTGTAGTCAGTGAAGGGTCTGACAATAGGCTGCTGCATTTATGGTTTTTCCTCTAGGCATGTAGTCGATGAGTAGGACGCCTTTTGATCCCAAAACACTGTAGCCATAACCTTTTTGGTTCTCAGAATTTGTTTGGCTTTTTTTGGTCTTGTTGGGGATCTGGAATGATGCCATTCCATTGACTAGGGCTTTGTTTTGGAGTTTTATGCAAAATTCAGGTCTCATCACCAGTAACAATGTGCTTCAAAAACTCCTCACCATCCTTGTTGTACTGACTGAGAAAAGTCAGTGCAGCTCCCATTCAATTTTGTTTGTGTTCATCTATCAAAAGTTGAACACCTGGCACCTTTTCTGTAGCCCAAATCGCCACTGGCAATGCCATAAAGAACTGTTTTTGAAATTTCAGGAAAGAACAAACTGAGTCCATCTATAGTGAAATGTCTATCCTGTTGAATTTTTTCCTCAAGTTTTGATTTGAGTTTGTCAGTCACAACTGAACGTTGCCCTGAGTGTTCTTCATCATGAATATTCATTCACCCGCCATTAAATATGATGCACCATTTTCGAACTAAAGCTTCCATTCATCACATTACCATAAACCTCGGTTATCTGTCTGTAAATTTTGATAGGACAAACTTTTTTGCATTCAAAAAGCGTATTACACTACAAACCTCACAATTGGTGGGATCTTTAATTTTGTCACAGATTTCAAAGTCACACTATAAACAGTAAACGATCATTGCAGCTCACTATTAGCATCAGACTGGCACAAAAAATGGGAAGGTCCAAGGTGTGGCAGTGGGGGGTGGTGGGAGAACTGTGCGGCTCATCAGATCAAAACATTCTTTTCTTTTAGAATGACCCTCGTATTTATCATTAGATAATCTGTAAATTTCTGGTGCTCCACTTGATCATGTCACACATTTTTGATTGCCATTTATCTTTATTTTTATTTTTTTGAAAGATTGAATAAATCTTTCAAAATTTCCTTGTAGTAAGAACTATTTTCATTGTGGATAAGACAATGGAGTTACACCATAAAACAAGACTGCATTATTAGACCACAACAATGACTTTATTAATAAAAGACAATTGATAACAAAAATATAAATGAAAGTTACATATATTTCTTAAATTCTATTATTAGACTAAATTCTATTTCTGCAGCTATTGAACCAGTTAATTAATTATTTGAACCTAACAAATGAGAGAGAGAATTTACAATTTTAAGTCAACATAATACCATTCATTCTTTTCAGATATTCTTCGTAAGTTTTGGTGGGAGCTGGCTGCAGTTTCCTGCATTTTTGGTTGGATACTTTTTTGTTCTGGATGCAAACTTTCTTGTTTCTTTCAATTTCAATTTTCCAGCTCTGGGTGGTTTGTGTTTGGCCCTATTTATTTCATTTTAATTGTCCAATCATCGGATAATTTGGGTCACCTGAGGAGAAAAGCAACAAGTATCTTCCTTGTTGAGTTGATATCAAAGTCAACATCTTTCCTCAGGAACTTTCTTCAAAAATGGAAGAAAATTTCAATGACTCATGACCAAAAAAGTGGTCTTTTGTTAAATTATTAAACTTTACCTCAATTTAGACAAAAAGTATTGGCCTTAGATTCTCACATAATCCTTACTAACTTCTATTTCTTCATATTTTTTTATTATTAGCTTTTAGTATATATAAAAAATTATAACAGTAATAATTTGTTGTTATATATTTTATTACTAATAAAATTAATAATGTTTTAAATTCCACTATAGTTTCTATATTATTATTGATTTTAGAATATTTACATTATTATATACGTATAAATTTTTATATGGTTGAATTTTTTACAGCGAGTTAAACGCATTGAATTGGGTGAAATAGTGTTATTTGATGTTGATACCAATAAAATAGAAACACCTTTTCATGACTTGGATTCTTTGCCATCAGAAGTTGTAAGTTTTAAGAAGTGCATTTTAAATGATGAAATGATAAGCCATAGATAACAAGATATTTCAATATTGTTAATAAATATGAGATGTAATGAGATATGAATATTGAAAGTTTTTCATGTTTTATTTGGCAATTAATGAATGGAAAATTTCAAAATACAGTAGAACCTCGATTATCCGGATTTTCAATTATCCGGATTGTTCAAAATAAACAAAAATTTTACGAATTTGCTGATTTGCACTTGGCGAATTACGACACTGTTTATGTACGTGATGGAATACATAACTTTTTTTGTTTCAACGTCTCACTTGGCACAGTGGCCATAAACTCTTAAATATATTTTGCGTTGTAATAAAAATATAACTTGACATACGTATTTATAAATAAATTATTTTCAAATTACATCATTTCTATGACCAAGGGCGGCGTAAGGCATGGGCAACGTGGACCACCATCTATGCCTCATGGTCCGAAGAGCCTCGCGTTTCAAAGGTTTATGCGTTACTTAAAAGCTGCAAACACGACGAAAAAATTTTACTCATCATAAAACGATAAATAGTTTGTCAAATTTTTATTCATAAAAATGCAGTTTCAACTGCTTTTTATTTTATAAAATCCGTCTTCTTGCGCCACCAGAGGGCCTTTTAAACAATAGGTAGTCTGTTAGCGTTGGTCAGTAGTAGTCCAAATTCAATACAAACGTTTGTTTCTTGAAAATTTTATCACGATTTAAATACAGTATTTACTTTTAATATTACCAATATGTCATCGAAAAGAAAACGTGTTGTATTATCATTAAAAGACAAATTAAAGTATTTGTTTTGATTATTCAAATTTTTCCTTATCCGGACTACCTTCATCCCCAATTAGTCTGGATAATCGAGGTTCTACTGTAGCAATAATTTACAATTTAATTTTTATTTAGAAAAAATGAAAAGAACAGCTAAATGCCATTTAGGAATTTCGAAAGTTTTGATATTCATTTTAGCATTTTTTGTTACTAACTACATACATTAATGTAGTCTATTTATTTCTTATTAGAGGAGACCGATATATGAATATATATTTTATATATTCATATATTTCAATTCTTAATTATTTTGTTTTGACTAATTTAGAAAACTATACAAAAATATTAAGAATACATGTACTCTTGCTATCAATATATACAGAATAAATATTTCAATGTAATAAATAGACAAACAATATGTGTGTTTATGTATGTATATATAACTATTTAAATAATGATTAGTAATTTTCATTGAATAATGAATATTAATATGACTGTTTACTATTTTATCCTTTCTGATTGAACTTTCACTGCAAATTTTTAATTAAAATATATCAATACAATTTATATGTTTTTCAAAAATCAAAATTAAATTTCGGTAGACTTAAATTACATCTTTCTTTTTGTTAAATATAAATAACTATTCAATATTATTATTATTTTGATCAAAGATAGTAAACATGTAATAGGAAACAAACAGTAAGTTTGACAAGTACGTTTGCTTGGCACTGGATTATTTGAGATATTCAATACCCTTCAAAAATTTATTATAGTATGTTTTATTATATTATGACTTTATTATAAATGTACTATGATTAATTTTTGAGAAGAATTACAATTATTTACAGAAATACAGTTATTAGTATAATAAAATAAATATTCTTTTATGAAACTAAAAATAAAGTTATGATTTGGATTGGTTTGGAATATTAAAGAGAAGAGAGATGTTTTTTGAAAATGTAGTACTAATTTAAATTTTTGTTTATTTTTATAATAAAATTAGCACGCATAAGATGTTTTGCAAATAAAATTCTTATAACAGTTATAAAATTTATTTTTCTTACTAAATTAATTAAGTAGTAATGGTTGAATAATTAGTTTAATTTTTAACGATTATTTATTTAAATGAAAGAAATTTTATTTTTTATTTCCAGAAGGCGATAAGACTATTTTTATGTGTTTTACAGTCAAAATAATAACTTTATGTATATTATTAAATGGTTATTTTGTAACCGTAAAAAAAAAATGTAAATGGATTCAAATCAGACTAGTAGTGATTCCAACAAACATATATTCATGTGTGGTAAATGCTCAAAATTATTATTTCTTGATAACTCATTAAAGACTTTCCTGTCTTATAAAATGATAGTTTCATATGTTAGTTGGTTTAGCATTGTTTTNGTAACTGATTTCCAAAATTTTAAAAAGTAACATGAGAAATGTATCTTATTTAAAATATATGAAAAATATATCTTCACAAATCCTATTTTTGATCACCTGATAAAAAAGGATTTATGAAGAGTTTTGAAAAGTTTCAGATATTATCTCTTGAGCTTATAGTAAACAAATGTTCAAGATTTAGGTGTATTTTGCAATATGTAGCAGGACAGTAACAAGCACAAACAAAATCTTCTTGCAAATTATCTTTTTCATTTTAATTACTAGATATTTAATAAATGGTAAATAGTTAAAATGCTATGAACAAAAGAGTAATGAAATAATAATAATAAGCTCTGGTATTTTTGAAACTGTCCAGTAATTTTTAGTAATTTGAACACAAATCAATTATTGTATTTATTCAGACACTTGGCAAATCNTTTTTTAATTTATTAGTTTTATAAGTTTTTGTTTCATTTGCACTAATTTTTTAAGATGTTGATAGTTTAATAAGTTTTTGTGTAACTTTGCTAAAAAATCTATGTTCATAATAATTAAATATATTTAATCATCACATTAATCTTATCAGTGTTAAGATATCTACTAATTCGAACATAAATCAATTATTGTATTTATTCAGACACTTGGCAAATCTCATCATTAAATTTTATTCAGTTGAATCAACTGAATAAAATTTAATGATGAGATTTGCCAAGTGTCTGAATAAATACAATAGTTGATTTGTGTTTGAATTACTAATAATAAGCTCATCTATCATGGTACATGGGTGAAATAAGATGAATCCAACAAGCACAACTAAATTACCTAATAGATGTTACACACACTTATTCCACTGACATTCAAATAGAGTTTGGCCTAGAAAAATGCAAAACATTTACATTGAAAAAGGAATTCTGAAGTGGGAGACCTTTCCCTTGAAAATGAAGACATTATTGAATTCGTGGATGAGCGTGATGTCTTCAGATATTTTGGATTCAACAGTCCCAATTCACAGAACAGGCAAAAATTCAAACAGAGACTAATAAATGATTATAACAGTTAAAACTCAGTACCAACAACACAGTTGACTGCAAAACACACATTTAAAGCAAGCAATACATATGCTGTTCTAGTAGTCACATTTGGAGTTATACATTGATACAGACAGAACTAAAATTATTCCAAAAAAAAAAAAAAGAAACAGAAACAACATTAACAAAACGTACAAACACCATCTTAAATCATCCATAGAAATGTTGGCTCTTCCTCTCAAAGAGGAGGATGAGGCCTCACATGTCTTCACTGTTAATTTTTTAAATCTTATTTTTATTTAAACTAATTTCTGAATAGATTTCATTTGTTCAGGGAGCTACTATTTCAGATTCTTTATTAAGAAGTAGTTAAAACGTATGAAATAAAAAAAATTTTTATTATATATCATAATTGATTTAGTTCATTATTTGTTTGTAGGATTCACACTAAGATTGAACAGTTATTTAATTTCTCTCATAATTTTATANATGTATATTATTAAATGGTTATTTTGTAACCGTAAAAAAAAAATGTAAATGGATTCAAATCAGACTAGTAGTGATTCCAACAAACATATATTCATGTGTGGTAAATGCTCAAAATTATTATTTCTTGATAACTCATTAAAGACTTTCCTGTCTTATAAAATGATAGTTTCATATGTTAGTTGGTTTAGCATTGTTTTAATTCATTTTATAATCAAATTATAATAATTTGTTAAAAACGAATAAAGTTAATATGGAATTGATGACTTTTGGTCTCAGAGACAGATTATATTGACTGTGGTTTTATTAGATATTGAATAAGTTTCATTATTATTTATCTTTTTTCCTAAATACTATTAGTCATATATTCTTACATTTGAGAAAGAATTAAAGTTAAATCTTTCAAAGTGAAATTATTCATAAATAATCTGAGAATTAAGCAAAGAAGTTTCTAATTCAAAGTACTTAAACAGTGTGTAACATGATAATTTGAAAACACAGTGGAACCCCATTTATCTGGATCACATTAATCTGGATTATAAAGCATAATCCCTATCTCAGAAGTATGAAAGATAGATGCATGGAATAACTGTAAATGCAAACAATCAAAGAATTCTTAGGCACATTCTTGCCTGAGTGTATCATTGCAGTTTGTAAGAATAGTCTTGTTTTTTGTGAATCTGTATATGACGTTCATTGTTATGCAATTTGTGAAAGTTCTTTGAGTTTACTTGTTGAATCTCTTGTAATCTTTTAAGATTTTCAATTAAAAGAAATTGCTACTTTTCTGTTGAATAAAAATGTTACATATCTAATGGCAGTCAATGTGTAAGTAACTTTATCATTTGCAGCCTTGAGATTTATTATTCACTCAACACTCACAGCTACTATTGTTTATCTGAGTTTCCGTCACCTTTAATCTTTCATGAAGTAAACACTGTGAAAATGATGTTTAAAAGAAAGAAAATGGTTGTTACAGTGGAGAAGAAATTAGAAATAATAAAGTAAAATGTATATAAACTGAGTTATTTCTGTTGTTAACAACGAAATATAATAACAGCATTGCAGATAGCAAGCTCAAGGTCTTCAACTCTTTGCTTAATGATTTGTTGCAGAGTAATGCTAAGTAAAAACTACTGTACTGACAATGGTTTAGTTAATGGTGCTCTTGGTTCTGTAATTGACATTATATGTGATAAAGACAGAAGACCACCTTTATTAACTATTTGTAGTATAGTAAAATTTGATGGATATACTGGTCCCTATCTATATGAGGATGCTTTTCCCATTTTGCCAATCATATCCCGATGAAAAGATGGTGATTGTAAGTGCCCATGTTGACAGTTTCCACTGACAATTGTGCATACTTTAACAATTCACAGGCTCAGGTTAACACTTGATAAAGCTGTAGTTCATATAAGGAAGAAAAAAACTGCTCCTGGACTAGTATATGTTACTTTAAGAAAACTGTGAGACATAATAATTGTACTATCTTTTAATGTGGTGAAAAGGATCAGTGCAATCAAAAAAAATGGAACAGTTTAAAGAACAAGAAAATTTCTTAAAATTTGTATTGAATTATGAACTGTTTTATTAAAATTTGAATTTTTGCTTATTATTCTTGTTATATGTAATGCTTAGACCCAGACAGCCAACATTCATCTAGTTAATTTTATATATTTATCTATGGCATTATTATTATTATTATGATTTATATTTTTTCATGAATATAACAATGTTATCTCATTTTTTTAATCTAAAGATATTGAAATTAAACTGGCAATTTTTAATAAAATAAAAATAACAGCTTAATCTAATAAATTTTTCTTTTCATTATTAATATTTTATTTAATTTTTTTTATAGTTATGAATATATAAATAAAAATAAATTGATATTGAAATAATTTAATTAACATTTACAGGTAACACCTTTAAAAAGGACATTGAAAAATCCAAACACAATTTTGGGAGATGGTATTCCAAGAGCATTTCTTCGAGCTCTAGTACAATTGATAGGTGGCTATTGGAGTGCATTAAGACTACGTCAGGGTGAAAAAATTAGTTTTAATCCAACTGCATTTGTTCAGTCACGGCCTGCACCAATTCAGCCATTTCTTCAAAAAATGTTGGAATTACAGATATTTCAACAAGTAAGTATTACTTATTTGGAAGTAAATCTAACTGTTTTTGTAATTAGATTTATCATACAATAGAATAAAATAGTTATTACATCAGCGATGCAAGTGCTTTGTCAGTTGTGCCAAAGTTTATCAATGGTCATTTCTTCTACACTGCTAGAAAACATCTATTTTCTTTAAAACTATGTCATTTCTGTACTAATTTCCTACTACAGTATAATTTTTATAATCATTGTACAATTTAATAGTTTATGCCTTTTTTTATTTTTTTCCTTTCCGGTAATAATGAAACAATGCTTATTTGTTTAAACAGATGTGTAAAAAGTGGGCTTGACCTTTGATCTCCTCTGATTAGCTTTAATGTTTGATTAATCATGATGGTTTATAGCATTCAATGTTGAAATTTAGTCAAATAAATAAATCTAAATTCAACATTCTTTCTTCTATTTAAATATTCAATATTCAGTTACTGTTTTTCATTTGTTAGCTAAGTTAAATAAAATTGAACAGAGCTCTTTATATATCTAATGTATCTTTTAAAGTGTATTAAATTATAGTTTTTGAGAAAAAAATGTGATGAAATTTTTAAAATGAAATGTTTTTATATTATTTTACTATTTGTATATCTGTCAATGAGCAGTTATTTAGATTCACTTTAAAAAATTAATGACTTAACAAACGAAAATTATTTTGGTGACAAAGATTCATCACGTTTGTATGATAAGACCCATTAATTTTCAAAATGATCCAATATCAGAATTTTTTTTAATTTTAATTTTTTACTCTTTCTGCCTGTGGGCACTAAAAAAGTTTTTTCCATGCCCATTGTGGGTTCAGCCAGGCCCAAAGTATGGGTGGCTAGGTGATGAGGGCTGGGGTTTTACATATCTACGACTGATTGCCACTAGAAAATTTTTGGAGAGTTGCTTGCCCAGATTCAATTCTATGTTCCCAGAATGGCAGGCTGATGTCTTAAATGCCTTGATTATTTGATCCTCAATATCAGAGGTTATAATTATAAAAAAATTTTTCTCATTTGTATTGTATCTGGTTATTTTTGTTTTATCAAGTTTGTAATACATATCTTATTTTCTTATAAATTTTAAAAATATTTTCAATAATTTTAACAAATTTTTATCATTGTTTATTTTCTGCCATTTTACACTGGTTTTACATTTACAAGAAATTGTGAGGAACCGGGGTATATGATATCTATATATACCACTTAGTCGGCACTGAGTCTTAGGATGGCTTAATTCTAGGTTGAGATCAAAGATCGTGAGATCCCGTTCAACGTCAGGACCTGACGCCAGATAGGGATGAAACTTGCGCCCTATCGTGTGTTTAAAAAATTATAAGATATCTGTAATAAAGGAGGGCTTCAAATTTAGTGAGTGGGGAGACCCAGGGGTAAGTTGATAGGATGTGAAATAAAAAGAGGAGACGGATTAACAATAATAAGTAAACATTTAATGAAATAAATCTAACTACATATAAGAAGATATGGACATTATCTCTAGCTATATCTTATCATTTATATGAGAGAAAGTTTACAATAATGATTATATTAAAATAACTCTATAGGATACAAAGTATCTTCTTTCAACTATATCCATTCGATAATATGGAGACGTATATGAGCAAAAATAAATAAATTATGGCATTTACTTTAATATGTGCCTATTACATATGGCATTCTTCGTATGCACCCTGCGTTTGGCGTGAATTGCCTATTTATACTAAAATTCTCCTCCAATGGAGATTAAAAATTTGGACCATCTGACGGGATGTCAAGATGATTATTTTGGTTAGTCAACTATTTAGTCATAAGAGAGATAAAGATCTCTCTCAGGAACTAACTTTCAAAAAGGAAATATTTGTTCCTTATTCTCTTCAATTTTTTAAATTTTACAAAAATTATCAAATTATTATTGAAATCTTTTAAAAAATTTTATTAAAGTATCAATATCTCTTCAGAATCTCACAAAATCATATTAAAATGCATTTATATTCTTAATAAAGTTATGTAGTTAATGTGTCAAAGATTTGAGACATAACAACATATAGGGTGTGGTGTAAAGAGTGGCTAATCCATTACCTGCGGATAGGGGACATCATGACTGTTCAGAAAATTAAACATTGTGTTTAGTAAAAGTATCATAGTTTTCGAGTTATTGGACATTTTCTATTTTTTTGGAAAATGGACTCCTTCGTTCACATTTTTCAATGTCATGGTCACAAATCAAGGATTTTTTTCCAGTCTGTTTTTGAATATTAGTATTGGATACATGTTCTATCAAACGTAAACTGCCATTTTAGTGTCATAGAATTGGTTTTTTTAGAACAAAAAATAATTCAAAATTTTTGTTTCATTTTTTTTTTCAGTGTAAAAAAAAGTACTGTAACCTGCATGACAAACTAACTAATAATTTGCCTATTGTACTGAGATTTAAAATAGCATAAATGGCATTTGTAGCTTTCAATTCAATGAATATTCCTACCGAGAAAGATCAAGAAAAATTTTTAAAATCTCATGAATGAATTGGGCTCCTAAATAATTAATCGGAAATCTAATGAATCTAATTAAAATGACAGAATAAAACAAAATGATCAGTTGGGTTACTACATTTATTATTGTAAATTTACAATAAGTGTTCAAAGTAACCACCATGGGCTCTGACACATGCCCTACATCTTCTAATAAATGATCGCTTAATTTTTCCCGCAGTACCTGCTTCACTGATTTTTTGTGCAGCCCTTTCGATTCGCTCCCGAAGCTGCTCGGTTGAGGTCATGGGCTTTTTGTACACTTTGTCCTTAAATAGAAAATGTCCAATAACTCGAAAACTATGACACTTTTACTAAACACGATGTTTAATTTTCTGAACAGTCGTGATGTCTGCAGGTAATGGAATATCCACTCTTTACGCCACACCCCGTACAGTTAACAACATTAATAAAATTATAATTTAAACTACCTTAAACATTTCTTATATTTTCATTAAAAGTATAAAATTAAGTAATCTCTTAAATAATTGTCATTAATTTATGTCATACTTTATTCAGTTTATGAAGTTAAATTTTTGTATTGTAATTAATTAAAGTAAATTGAATGCTTTAAAAGTTTATGTAATGTTATATTTTATTGTTCAGAAAATTTTTATTGATTTAATCATTTGTAAAATAATAATTAACTAAAATGAATTGATCTAACTATAATAAGAATTGCAAAGAAAATTTTTTTTATTTTTGTTAATTTGTAAGGAATTAATATATGTATTGTTTTATTATTATATTACAAAAAATATTCTTGTAATATTTAAACATTTTTATATTTCTTTTACTAGTTTATAGAGAGCAGATTGCATATGTTAAATACTGGTAAAGGTTGCTTTACTGATGAATTTGAATTTGAACTTACAGCATATGAAGGAAAAGCTAGTAGTAGATTAAAAACACAATATAAAGAATGGCTAACAAGTATGAAAGTAAGTTACATAGATTTGATATTACAGGTATTTGGAAATTTGATGATTATTATATGAATCTTTATTATGTAATTAGTATTTAAAAAAAATAAGAAATGAAACATAACATTTAATTAATAATTATCTGAAATTACATTAAATACAAAAATTCATAAAATTATTAAATTTTATTATGCCATTATTTGTTTTTTTGTTGTCAAATTATTATACTTTTTAATCTAGAATTATCAATGCGGTTATTTATAAGCTTATAATTTATAAACTTTTGTTGATGTCACATTTTATTTTGAGGAAAGAGAGAAAATTAGTAATAGTTTTATTTACTGATTTTCTTTAAATGAAGTTGTTTAAAGTTTTTATTAATGATTATTTTGTTTTAAATAATAATTTTTATTTTAAGTGTTAAAAAAAATTGATAATATTTTCATATGATATGTTTTTATGATTAATGTGTTCTAATTATTGTTATAGAAAGAAGGTGGTGCTTTTCTGAAATCTATGAAAGTTAAGGTTAGTAGTGTTTGGTTTTATATTTAAAAAAATTTCTTGTATTTAATTTTTATAGTTTTTTCTCTCAATTATGACCATCAGTTAAAACTTTTTCTAGTATATATAATTTGATTTTTTCAAATATATTTCTATTAAAAATACTTTTTCTCCTCTATTAATTATTATTAATACAGTATAGTGATTTTTTTTACTGTAGATATCATGTTTTAAAAAATTATTTATAAAATTTACGACACTCGTTCAGTAACTGATTTCCAAAATTTTAAAAAGTAACATGAGAAATGTATCTTATTTAAAATATATGAAAAATATATCTTCACAAATCCTATTTTTGATCACCTGATAAAAAAGGATTTATGAAGAGTTTTGAAAAGTTTCAGATATTATCTCTTGAGCTTATAGTAAACAAATGTTCAAGATTTAGGTGTATTTTGCAATATGTAGCAGGACAGTAACAAGCACAAACAAAATCTTCTTGCAAATTATCTTTTTCATTTTAATTACTAGATATTTAATAAATGGTAAATAGTTAAAATGCTATGAACAAAAGAGTAATGAAATAATAATAATAAGCTCTGGTATTTTTGAAACTGTCCAGTAATTTTTAGTAATTTGAACACAAATCAATTATTGTATTTATTCAGACACTTGGCAAATCTCATCATTAAATTTTATTCAGTTGAATCAACTGAATAAAATTTAATGATGAGATTTGCCAAGTGTCTGAATAAATACAATAATTGATTTGTGTTCAAATTACTAAAAATTACTGGACAGTTTCAAAAATACCAGAGCTTATTATTATTATTTCATTACTCTTTTGTTCATAGCATTTTAACTATTTACCATTTATTAAATACCTAGTAATTAAAATGAAAAAGATAATTTGCAAGAAGATTTTGTTTGTGCTTGTTACTGTCCTGCTACATATTGCAAAATACACCTAAATCTTGAACATTTGTTTACTATAAGCTCAAGAGATAATATCTGAAACTTTTCAAAACTCTTCATAAATCCTTTTTTATCAGGTGATCAAAAATAGGATTTGTGAAGATATATTTTTCATATATTTTAAATAAGATACATTTCTCATGTTACTTTTTAAAATTTTGGAAATCAGTTACTGAACGAGTGTCGTAAATTTTATAAATAATTTTTTAAAACATGATATCTACAGTAAAAAAAATCACTATACTGTATTAATAATAATTAATAGAGGAGAAAAAGTATTTTTAATAGAAATATATTTGAAAAAATCAAATTATATATACTAGAAAAAGTTTTAACTGATGGTCATAATTGAGAGAAAAAACTATAAAAATTAAATACAAGAAATTTTTTTAAATATAAAACCAAACACTACTAACCTTAACTTTCATAGATTTCAGAAAAGCACCACCTTCTTTCTATAACAATAATTAGAACACATTAATCATAAAAACATATCATATGAAAATATTATCAATTTTTTTTAACACTTAAAATAAAAATTATTATTTAAAACAAAATAATCATTAATAAAAACTTTAAACAACTTCATTTAAAGAAAATCAGTAAATNATTTCATCTAATGATTGATAGTATTATCATAAAATTTTTTCAGTCCTTGTTAACAATCAGAATATATATAACAAAATATGACTGAATGTGCACTGAGAGAATTTAGGTAAACAGTAATTTAATAGGAATGTTGTTTGTCAGTGGTGGTTATTTTTTGTTTTTTCTTTGAGAAATTATTTGCATGGTTGTTTCTACTGTAAATAATTTATTATTAGAAAATAAACTATAGTTTTTTTTTCTTATTTTAATGCTAAAAAAATGTTTTCTGTATTGTAGGTGAGAGACACAAGTAAAAGAGCATATAAGGATATCAGGTCCAGGTTTCAAGATATTCAGCATCAAAAGGTTAAAATATACTATTATTTTATTATTATAAATTCTCATAAAATATTTATTAAAATATTTAAAGCTGCGTAACTTTTTGCATACTATACTTGAATGCATGAAATTTACAGTTTAAAAGTTTTTGTTGCATTTTCTTTTTCTGTTGAAAATACTGAAGTGCTATAAGTGTTTATTATTTTGTTAAAATATGGATAATAATGTCATAAATTATTTAGATTGAGAAACAGATTTGAAATTCTGTAGTATAATTTGCTTCTTGTTCAGTTTTAATAACGTTGATGTACATCCAGCTGTTAGAGTGCATTTTCCCAAACTTATTATATTATAATGGCCACAAATGACATAAAGTGACTGTTTTTTCATTTTATTTTATTCCTATGTATTTATTCCGTCATGAATTTTGCATGTATTACTCATTCTTCTTCAGTTGGTTTCAATACCATTAAGAATGAGATTACCAACTTAAAAATTTAATAAAAATTTCTCATCATTTAAATATTATGAAAAAATCATAAATCACGAGAAAACAGTCATTTTAATTCATTTGTGATTGTTATGATAAGTTAGGAAAAATACACTCCAATAAACAGAAGTACATCAAATTTGAAATTAATTAATGTTCTATACTTTGAAGATTTACATCATTTTAATAATAACGAATATTTTGAAAAAATCTGGTGATGTAATAAAATATGTTAAAGAATTATCATTGTATAAGAGATATGTTTTATCTCTGTGATGAAAAATGTATTTCATCTGTCTGGATTTCAGTTTTAGGTATTACGTACAGGATTATGGAAGAGCATGCTAAGACTTTTTTGTGTAGATATGTCAAATTAGCTTAAAATATGTTTTAATTGATACAAAATCAATATATATTTTTAATGAAAGATGGGAAATTACACTGTGATTAATATGTAATTTTATCATTTTAAAAATATTTATTAAATTTATTTATAATAATTAATGTTCTACAGTAGATATTTTTACTTATTGTATTGAATTTTTTTAATTTTATATTGTACAAATTTCTTAATGTTAAATTGTATATTTTGTTAATTTCTGGATAAAAAATATAATTATAATTATTTTTAAAATAGTTAACACACAATGATATGCCAAATTTGTATCATCACTCACAACCAAGAAGTGCCCCCTCAAGTCCTTCATTTTCTCATAAATCAAGTCAGAAGGTAAGCTTTTTACAGTTAATTTTAGTATTGAATGTTTTTATTTATGAATGTCTCTGAAGCTACTGTTGCTAGTTTTACAACCATTCTCCCTCTATTCCACTTTTGAAAAAATATGCTTTCCTTTCTATCTTGTATTTTGCATTCATTTTACATATGCACTTTTCAATATTTTATTTTTCCATCTAGTTGTTAGATTGTCATTCTTTGCATGTTCCATCATCATATACTACTACTATCTATTATTATTTAATGTGGGCAAAATGCATAAAAGCTTAAAAGATTATTTTCTGAAGCTTATTACAATATCATCTCTAAAAATGCTGCTGTTTTTCTTTGTTATCCTTTTGTCAATTTCTATATATATTTTTTAATCTTTTAGCTAAGACAGATTTATTTGAATTTTAAAATATTTTGTTCTGATGGACGTAATCTATCAGTAAGGAAGGTCTAATTTATATATTACAAAAATTCATTGACTTCAGCATTATGTGTAGAATACAACAAACACAAATTGATGGAAGCATTGTTACCAAATGTGGACAAACAGGATCAATGTGTGGTGATTTTTTTTTTTTTGGCTGCAGAAGGAGAAAAACTGGTGGACATTCATTGCAGAATGGTGAAAATGTATGGTGATTCATGTGTGTCCAAAACCATCATTGTAGAATGATGCTTAAAGTTCCATGGTGGTCACAAAACAATGCAAGATGCGAGTTGATTAGGGAGGCCATCCACATCCAGTGTGGTTGAAAACAGACAGGCTGTAGATGAATCAGCATACACTTTCACATTCTGCGAGTAATGTCCACTGGTTTTTCTCCTTTCGCATTCAACAACAATCACTACACATTGATCCTTTGCATATAGTTCTGTTGTACTATATACCAATTAATTTTAATAATGTTTAGATTATTATTATTATAATTATTTTGAGACTGTATAATTTGAATTTTACTTAATTTATTTTAAACTAATGGTAAAATTTTGGTGCAATAATACTGAAAACTTCTGGCAGAATAAATAATAATACATATAAAAACATCAATATTACTATCACTTTCTAATTCTGAGTGTTTCTCACACTATTCTATATTTTTGTGAAAATTTACTGAATTAAAGTTTAAATAAATACATAAAAGATTTTAATAAAAAAATGTAAGGACTGACAAATTATCAGAAATTGTATTTTATTTAATTTTAAATCTCCATTGATAGATAAATTGATAGTTAAATCTACTCCATATACAGAGTGACACAGACTATCCCTGCACCCCTTTTAAAGTGAAGAGAAGCAAGTTTTGGTAAAAATCCTGAAAATTTTTGATAAGTAAATCAGGCTTTGCTCTATCAAATGATGATATTTTCAACTTTGAAATTGGCAAGAAGTGGACTATCCAGGCTTGAAGTCAAATTTTTTAAATTAAATTTGGATTAACTTACATGAAAAGGAATCATTTGGCATTATATTCAAACTAAAAGGGCACCAAATAAACTGCCTAAACTGTGCATTATAAAAAAAGTATGACAGCTGCTATATATATAAAAAATTTTGAAAAGACCTTGACCTAAGTAAATGAATGTATAATAATCATTAAACTGTTAAAAATTCAGATGTGAAGGAATACTTAAATTAACAGATTTAAAAAGTTAGCCTAATCTCAAACTCTAATTATTTGAATTTAGGTTAACTTTTTAAATCTGTCTAACAATTAATAACTGATAAGCAGTCACCCTAATGCAGTTGACATGCTAGAAATAATGAAAAACACGGAGAAATACTGTATGGCAAACGTGAAAAAATGTGGAAAAAATGTATTATAAAATTAGTGTAATTTGCTTCAGAAATCAATAGCACAGTCAAATATTGAAGTCTGACTTTCCTACACATTAGTAAGAAAAACATGTTGTAGCATAAATCCTGGCCCTGTTTATTAGTATGATTAGAAAAGGAGTCAGATATTTCATTCAAATGTATTTGATTTACTTTTTATATCGTTAACATAATATTTTTAATTTAATTTATTTAATGTACCTAGATATTTTTTGTAAATTGTATGTACAAATATATTATTATTTATGAGAGATTTCAAGATCAGCAAAAGAAAATTTAGTTTAACTTTTTGTACTTTAACTCAATTTAAATGTAGTTAATGTAATATCAAAAATTTCTAGTTCTATATAAATTCATTCAGTTAGTTAATAATCAGAGAATTATTAAAATAAAAACATTTATGTAATGATATTTATATAACTACATTTTTAATTAAAATGTTTAAAAAATGTATTTAATTGTAATTTGGTCTTTTAGGTAACNAAATTTTATTAAAGTATCAATATCTCTTCAGAATCTCACAAAATCATATTAAAATGCATTTATATTCTTAATAAAGTTATGTAGTTAATGTGTCAAAGATTTGAGACATAACAACATATAGGGTGTGGTGTAAAGAGTGGCTAATCCATTACCTGCGGATAGGGGACATCATGACTGTTCAGAAAATTAAACATTATGTTTAGTAAAAGTATCATAGTTTTCGAGTTATTGGACATTTTCTATTTTTTTGGAAAATGGACTCCTTCGTTCACATTTTTCAATGTCATGGTCACAAATCAAGGATTTTTTTCCAGTCTGTTTTTGAATATTAGTATTGGATACATGTTCTATCAAACGTAAACTGCCATTTTAGTGTCATAGAATTGGTTTTTTTAGAACAAAAAATAATTCAAAATTTTTGTTTCATTTTTTTTTTCAGTGTAAAAAAAAGTACTGTAACCTGCATGACAAACTAACTAATAATTTGCCTATTGTACTGAGATTTAAAATAGCATAAATGGCATTTGTAGCTTTCAATTCAATGAATATTCCTACCGAGAAAGATCAAGAAAAATTTTTAAAATCTCATGAATGAATTGGGCTCCTAAATAATTAATCGGAAATCCAATGAATCTAATTAAAATGACAGAATAAAACAAAATGATCAGTTGGGTTACTACATTTATTATTGTAAATTTACAATAAGTGTTCAAAGTAACCACCATGGGCTCTGACACATGCCCTACATCTTCTAATAAATGATCGCTTAATTTTTCCCGCAGTACCTGCTTCACTGATTTTTTGTGCAGCCCTTTCGATTCGCTCCCGAAGCTGCTCGGTTGAGGTCATGGGCTTTTTGTACACTTTGTCCTTAAATAGAAAATGTCCAATAACTCGAAAACTATGACACTTTTACTAAACACGATGTTTAATTTTCTGAACAGTCGTGATGTCTGCAGGTAATGGAATATCCACTCTTTACGCCACACCCCGTACAGTTAACAACATTAATAAAATTATAATTTAAACTACCTTAAACATTTCTTATATTTTCATTAAAAGTATAAAATTAAGTAATCTCTTAAATAATTGTCATTAATTTATGTCATACTTTATTCAGTTTATGAAGTTAAATTTTTGTATTGTAATTAATTAAAGTAAATTGAATGCTTTAAAGGTTTATGTAATGTTATATTTTATTGTTCAGAAAATTTTTATTGATTTAATCATTTGTAAAATAATAATTAACTAAAATGAATTGATCTAACTATAATAAGAATTGCAAAGAAAATTTTTTTTATTTTTGTTAATTTGTAAGGAATTAATATATGTATTGTTTTATTATTATATTACAAAAAATATTCTTGTAATATTTAAACATTTTTATATTTCTTTTACTAGTTTATAGAGAGCAGATTGCATATNAAAAACATGGTGCAAATCTGAGGATAGAGTATAATATAAATGATGTTTTATCATCAATTTGCACCATACTTTTCTGTACAGTACAATATTCTATACTTTTATATGGTATATTTGAAAATATATTTCATTATATGACAATTAAAAACAAGCAAAAATTCCAATTACTACATAAAACATGGAGTCTTCTATTGTATGGCGATTGTATATGACTTAAAAAGAGAACTAGAAAAGTCATCTTATCATAATTAATTCAACTTAACCGCTATTAAAATAAATTTATTATAACAAAAATACTACTGCTTTATAAAAAAAGAGCAGGAGGGACATTTGCCCCTCATCGTGGGGTACCTTGTGATACTTTACGGGCTCCGAATCCTTTGTACTCAAGTAATTTATATCCATTGCTTCCTTATCGACTGTAACACATATATAAATTATGGAAGAACCAGGTCAATAAGATGGAGTGTAATACGAGTCATTAAATAGTTCGTGAGGTACCTTTAGTAAATGAATAACTAGAATTAGCAACATTCATTCTACTTTTGCCTTGACAGTGAATGATATTTTCTTTTCTTACAATTAATCAATTTTTTTATATTCGTAAATATTTTATAAAAATGTTATTTATGATTTAAAGACGTTAAATTTCATAAAATTCTTCAAAAATTTCAATAAAATCGAGTAGTAAAATATCATTTAAATTGATCATTTTTATATTTAGTAAATAAAAAAAAAAGTAGTAGTTAATATAATGTTAAATATATGTAAAAAGAAACTGCAATTAATTATTTTAATATAAAAATTAATTTCTGCTTACGTCATATAAAAATAATAATAATATTTAACATTACAGTTGACCCCCCTCTAACACTTGATAATTCCGTTTTATATGAATTCCATGTTGTACGAGTCACTTAGATTTTACAAATACGTGTGCCGGGCTGTGAACGGCTCACGTATTTGTAAAATCTAAGTGACTCGTACAACATGGAATTCATATAAAACGGAATTATCAAGTGTTAGAGGGGGGTCAACTGTAATGTTAAATATTATTATTATTTTTATATGACGTAAGCAGAAATTAATTTTTATATTAAAATAATTAATTGCAGTTTCTTTTTACATATATTTAACATTATATTAACTACTACTTTTTTTTTTATTTACTAAATATAAAAATGATCAATTTAAATGATATTTTACTACTCGATTTTATTGAAATTTTTGAAGAATTTTATGAAATTTAACGTCTTTAAATCATAAATAACATTTTTATAAAATATTTACGAATATAAAAAAATTGATTAATTGTAAGAAAAGAAAATATCATTCACTGTCAAGGCAAAAGTAGAATGAATGTTGCTAATTCTAGTTATTCATTTACTAAAGGTACCTCACGAACTATTTAATGACTCGTATTACACTCCATCTTATTGACCTGGTTCTTCCATAATTTATATATGTGT